TATATTTATACACATTTACAAGTATAGTCAAGACAATGTTAATCGAGAGTGGATATATGGGCTAATATATTTTTTCCTTTAAAAAGACTCTGCTCAAATTTTAGAAACATTGGATTAGAGAGTCCTTCAGGTTAATCATGGACAACCCTGAAATTACCCTAGCCTGCCCATATGTCAAGGAAAACTAGATATGTCTATTTCTACCCTACTCTATGCTTTGGTATTCCACATTTTTAAGAAGTAATCAATGCACTCTTCCTGCATGCTTTTAGATTTGTCCCAAGGATTTTGTACTCCAATCCAAGGATCTGACAGATAAAAAGGGATTAAAATATCCCCGAGTAGTCTCTATTGGCAGCTTTCATTCATTGTACACAATGAACTGTTTACCTACAGTTTTAAAGCTGATAATATTTAATTTGCTGAGGAAAAGCAGGAGTGTTTGTGCAGAGAAAACTTGTAAAGAAAAGTTTGTTGATAAAGAAGCTCTAATCAGAATGGAATGGGTAGGCTCACACAGGACCTTTGCTTTGTGCTCACAGCACAGGTAAGAAGAACCTTAGAGGCCGTTGACATGAAGTGCCTCCTGTCTCTAGGACCTCAGGAGGCTAATGACATTTCCTAAGACACATGAGGATTAGGACCTGGGTGTCCTACAAGGTTATCGAATGTTTTCCCTTGTATCATATACCTTTTTGAAGGTGGAACTGGCTCTTGGGTTGGGAGTGGGGAATAAAAGTGAATGTATTTCAGTCTGGCTCACTAAGCGGTGGCTTTGCCCATCTGGCTCAGGCTCTGACCGCTGTGTGAAGGAAGAAAACACAGCACTAACAAATTATGGTAAAAACGATAGCTGGATCAATCTGAAGTGTACATTCAGGGAAACTGATACTTTAGTAAGCAATCTTTTCAAGTTTTTCAGAAAAAAATGCATCCATTTTTTATAATCAAGGAAACAGTATTAGTGACTCTACATGTTTTAGAGCCTCCTATAAAAATATAGTTATTTTCACAAAATAGCTTATTAGGAAATATTCAGTTAAAAAATGGTAATCAGGACACACAGGTCACTGAAAAATGTTTAGTCTTACTAAAAGGATGAAAGCATACGTTTCGAATAATCATGTAAAATAAAATAACAAAGGCCCCGAGAAATTTGAATATTTCATATGAAAGTCATAGCTCAGCATAAGGATAAAAGAGAAACTGGGCCATATTAAAGAACTGAATTAAAAACCTTGGGAAAAATCAATGATTATTTTGAGCAACTCTTTCTATTTTGAGTTAGCCGATGCATCCCGACAGTCATCTGTGGTGGCTGTGTTCCGGTTAAAAGGCATATTCATTCTCACAATCACTACAAAACGCCCAATTATGAAATACACGGATCCTGACCTAAATAAATATCATACGGAGAAATCTCTGCAGTTGGAAATTAGAGGATTCAGCTTTAAAACCTGAGATTGCTAACTGGCTCCCCTGCCCCGAGCCGCAGCCGAGTGGCTTCCCTGTCTCGGGAGCAATCTGTGTGTACCTGTCGCCATGCTTCCTTTTATCAGATCCTGTTGCCAGGGCAACCACCTCCTTTGTACAGGCCCAGGGTAGCTGCTTCTTTTTGGAAACGGCCTCTGGGCTGGTTGCCAGGTTTTCAATTCTCAAATTCAGGACTCTTCTGTAACTTACTTAACCCTTGCATTGGCGTGAGAAAATAGAGGGTGTAGAAGCTTTTTTATTTTTATTTTATTCCCCAAGTGAAGCCGAAACTATCATGTGACTGAACTCTAAAATTATTCTTTTGCCAGGACATATGCTGTGTCCACAAGGCAAGTAAATAAGATTGATTTTTTTAAAAAAATAATTAAAAGGGAGACAAACATTATTGATGTTTTTCAGAACATTAGGCTTCAGAAGTCCTATGATTTTAGTCCAGTTTACAGTCCTTCATTCTAATCCAATGCAGGGGAAAAACAGTTCACACTGAGAAGCAGCCGATTTTCAGTATACTGTATTCCTTACTGTTTTCTACTGAAATGAAAAGTGTATCATTATCACAAAAGGAAAAAATTAAAAACTTCCAAACCCAGTCTCCTTATAATCATGTGAACAAACCATATTTCTTTTTTTTTTTTCAACCCTCACCTGAGGATATTTTCCCATTGCTTTTCAGAGAGTGGAAGGGAGAGAGAGAGAGAGAGAAACATTGACGTGAGAAAGACACCTCGATTGGTTGCCTCCCACACGGGCCCCGGGCCAGGATCGAGCCTGCAACCAAGGTACCTAACTCTTGGCCGGAATCAAACCCAGGACCTCTCAGTCCTCAGGCCAACGCTCTCACCACTGAGCAAAAACAGCCAGGCCCCATATTTCCTAATAGTTTGGGTTTCTCTTGTCCTTTCTGCCTTTATTCCTAAATCTCAGACTTCAAGATGAGAAAGGGTTCACAGGTCTTCTGGTCTAATTTGTGACTCTGTTTCTTCCTATCTTATGAAACTGTTCATTCCTTATTTGAACTCTAATTAGTATACGCTCTTCATATTTGCACTGTCTGAGTACAATATCCATCTTTTGTTCTATTTCTGCACTTTGAAGTCATGTAGAAGAAATCGAGACCACTGTTTATGCTATAGCTCTTTAGTAAGACCAAAAGTAGCTGTTATGCCTCCCCAAGAGCAGTGGCCCTGGAGGTGTGCCTTCCAAAGACCTTCTGGGAGAGCCTACCTGGCTGACAGCCTCCAGTGGCTGTACCTTTGGATCCATTGGGGCACCAATGAGAGAGCACCCTTCCTCCAGGTGGCCCCCACCCAATGACTGAACACACTGCCTAGGCACAGAGCCACTCCTGCCCTAAAGGAGATTTGTCTGAGCCAAGTTTAGTTTGGGGACTTCCCATGGGTCCCTTAATTTCTTGAATAATGTATATCAAGTTGGAAAGCATTCTTGTGGAAGTGTTGTCTGTAGAGTGTCTTAAGAAACTTTGGTAATCATACTCCTTTGTTATTTTCAGAAGTCCTAGACTGCGCTTATGTTCTTGAATTTGATATTTATCGTTCACCAATTTCTGGTACTCAAAGAGATAATATATTCAACATGTTTTACCGCATTGCCAGAAAAAAGCATACATAAAAATGTTTAATCAAGTCTTTTCAATTCTCTTACTAAATTTCCAGATATAAGCATGGTTAAAATTAGGTATATAGCCTTCCAGATTTTTATACAACATTTGTGCACACATACACCTGGGGAAATTTTTCTATATGTGCTCTCTGTATCTTGCCTCTTAAGCTTTCTTTTTTCATCTTTTCCTCCTTTTTTCTTTCTGTCCTTCTTTCCTTATAATAATAAACACTACCATGATTATTCTATTTCAGTAAATTTGTATGTAATCACTAAAAGTGGAATCAGTTCACAGGGAAGGCAAGATAGGTATTGCAAAATATGCTATACCAATTGACTCTTTAAAGAGTTGAGAGTGCCTGGTCCCTCCCATATTCAACTGGTATTAAATTATTTTGAATTTTGTCAATGGGATACATGAAAAATATCTCATTGTTTTTATTTGCATCTATCTGATTATTATTTAAGGTTCAGCATCTTACTATTTGCTTATGGGCCAATTTTATAAATTGCTTTTGCATGCCTTTTCATGTTTATTGGAAAGTCTGTGAATTGTTTGTCCCCTGTCTTTTTCTGTTTTTGGAACTAAGGCTGTTAATATATTTTTGTATTAATCTGTAGGCATTTTTGATATTTTTATAGTAACCTATTATCTGTAAAATGCATTGCGAAAGTGTCTTCCCCTGTTTTTCAGTTTTGTTTATGATGTTTTCAATTTGGTTTCTGAGGCAGTGAACCACTAGAGCATTTAAGTTATTAGGTTTTAAAATATGTCAATCTTTTTTATGGTTTCTGGCTATCATGCTATTATTAGAAAGGCCCTTTTTATTCTAAAGTTATAAAAATATTCTTTTGTTTCTACATGTAAGTCTTCAAAATTTATGTGGGTTTTGGTTTTGAGCATAGGAAGAGATTGTAAAAGTTTAAAAAATAGTTACTCTGAATTCGGTTCACAATATATTATTAGCTAGTCCACTTTTTATTCACAGATTTAAAATAAAAACTATTATAGTTGGAAATTTTATGTCTTTGCTCCTTACTCTAAGCTCTTAGCTTGTCTACTACTCAATATATATTTTTGTGCAATTATTATATGATTTTATTATTGTGATTTCATAGTATACTTGTTATTTGCTCAGTTCTTTGCCTTAAGCACTGTGCCAGGACCTGGGAGTATAGCAGGAAGCAAGAAAGATAAGACCCTTGCTTATGTGAAACTTAGTAAGGAAGACAGATCATCACAAGCAAAGAGAAAATGTAATTACACACTGGCCTAAGTTCTATAAAGGTAATAAATGGAGTGCCACCAGGCTGATTTAGATGAGATGTTTTTGGAAGAGGTCAGTCTAGTAACCTTAATTTCAGCTGCAACCTTCGTTCTCTTTTGTCACATAACCAAACACAGCCATGGGTTCCAAGAATGAAGACACGGGCATCTTTGGAGGCCCATTATCCTGCCTCGTACAGGAGGGAAGGGAGTCGCAATGCTGTGTGAGACGCCAAGTAAAACCACGACGATACATAGAAGGACAATTGTCAGAGGGAAGGGGGGTTGGGTGTGTGTGAAAAAAGTGAAGGGATTGAGCAAAAAAAAAAAAGTGTGTGTGTGTGTGTGTATATATGTGTGTGTGTGTGTGTGTGTATGACACATAAACATGAACAGCAGAATAGTGACAGCCAGAGGGAAAGGGGGCTGAAGGGAGGAAGAGGTAGAAATCAATAAAAAACATATTCTTGGGTAAGATTAAAAAAAAAGATAAATAAATAATAAAAATAATAAAGGATATATAAATACTATGATCATATCAGAATAAAAATAATGCTAACACCTCAAAATCTAGTTGTTTTTATCTATTATGCTTACTTAAAATATTAATTTATATTTCACTTTATTGTTGCTGCCAGCCGGCTTTCTTTGGGAGAAGACTATGTGTGCTTGAATAGATTTTCTGATGGAATAGAGACTGACATGCTACTGAAGAAGAAAGAAATGTATGCATTTATCACGTATTTCTCAGCTTACCTGGGATGTTTAAAACATCACTGCTTACGCTTTTAAGTTCTTTGATTTTGTTTTTATTCATTTGTCATAGAATCTTGCTTTTGATTTATGGATGCAACTTGTTCTCAATTTCTGCTGAGAATATGAACATTCTCTGCTGTGTTAACCCTGTTTCATTAGAAGAATTTATTGTCTTTGTTTGAGCTTCTTTTCAGGATATTGAGTGTCATCCAACATCCCATTATCTGACAATTGTACCAACTTTTGGAACTGATGGTGTAGATCCATGTGTTGCAGCTCGTGTGGACTTCTGTACAGCACTGAGCTAAGGGTCTGTGTAGCTGTGTCAACAGGTAAATATGTGCACCTTCTATCTATCACGATTGCAGCTTGCATTGCTACATATCTTTTGGCTGTACCAACACTTCGATTTTTTTCTTCTGTTTTGATTTTCTTCACTGTGGGAAAATCAGACGTATTACGGTGAGAAGTCATTCTCTTCCTGGCTGTTGGAGCGTTGTCAAAGTTCTTTGGCGTGCTCCCCAGTGTCTTCTTTTTAAATCAGCCAAACTTCTATCTTCTGAGGGTAAGATATTAGGAGTGTCTGTTTCTGGCCTAGATTTTAGTTGTCAGTGGTAAGAGTTGTAGGGAAGGACTTATGGTAGAAATTAAAGTTTCTAGAGATTTTACTGCTGTATTGAGTCATTTTATCTTGCATGTGTAGGGTGGCTGGAAGTTAGCTGGAGAGCTATTTATTTTCTCTCTCTCCCCTAACATAATAATTGAAGTCTGCTTTGGCAAAATTCCCACATTTCTTTAGTGATCAGCCCAACCGAAATGTAAGCATGGTGTAAGTGCTACAGTCAGGTGTGTCTGGAAATGAGACAGTTCTTGCAGTTACTCTGTAGTCTTCCACATGGTCTCCCTGTTACCTCCTTTTCCAGCCTTGATTTTGGGTTATTTTATTGAAAGATATATTACACGCAATCTTTAGGGTAACTTTTTTCCACTTGAGTGTAGTAATGAGTAATATTCACTTGCTATCATCAAGAAATTCCTTAATTTCTTGTCCATTGATAGCATCTATATCTGTGCAATGTCTTTTTTCTTCCCTGCAATCATTTGTTGAAGATTAAAATTAAGAAATAAAAAGTATCTATATCAACATGTCATCAAGAAAGAAACTGAAATGTGAAATTGCGTTCTTTTAACAAATAACTTGATTTTTCTTTATTCCAACAATTTCTCTCTAGGACATTCTAAGCTCTCATTGATTCCGAATGCAGTTTGCCAGTTTTCATGTAAGTATAGAGTTAAGGTAAAGTATGTCTAAGATCTGTGGGTTCACAGCGACAGAGAGCAAGTGATTTGTTAGGCATCTCATTGAAAGGGGTGGGATTGATGGTCCTGTTCTGAGGCCTTGTTTTTTTTCTTTTCATCTCTGGAATGGAACTATATGTAAATGCATTCTGTATTTTCTACAGTTACACAGCTCCATACTAGAAGATTCAGAACCTAGAATTCATTTCTCTAAAAACTAATGTAATTCTCTTTTATTGTTCCAAAAAGTCTATTCCACCTTTGTGGCTACCAGATAATGTTTTGGTCATATCTTCTATATTCAGGTAGCTGAAATTTCACTTAGCTATATTTTTCAGGTGTGGAAACTAAGGCTCATAAAATTTAAGGAATTCCTAAGATATATAGTGAGAAAATGCTAGGACCCAAATAGTCTTTCTCTAATACAGTCATGCTTCTTCTACATAAAATTTACCTGTTTAAAGATGAGTGAAAATTTTTTCAACAGATATTTTAACAACTACCTAATCTTGCAATACACCAAATGGCCAGGAGAGATTTGCAAAGGTAAATGTGACATGAATCTGAAAAGTATGAAATTATAGGGTTGAAAGAAGAAGCAATGAAGATATAAAATTATATCATTGAGCTCACTGGCAGAGATGATAGTTATTATAAACAACCAAAACAGAAATATCCACAGCAAGCTTAAGGTTTTATAGTCAAGGTAGTGTCTTTTCTATGTTCTAGGACTGGAGTTGGCTCAGGCATGATTACCTATGAAGGTTTCCTGGAGCATCCTGCAGAATTGGATCTCTAGAAACTATCGCCTGTCATGTGTCCTTGTGGATGCCTCCTGTGCTCCTGATGGTTCCTTGGCTCCAGTTCTTGCCCATGGTATTTGGCATCTGCCTCACTTGGCTCTGGATTTCCTTGACCCCTGGCTGCCCCTGCCTGCCCCTGTGACCTGGGTCTTTACCAGCAACTGAGCCTGCTGCTCACTTGCTGCTTTTTAGTACTGACTACAAATTCCTGGTTTCTAAATTCTGCTTAGCCTGGCAATAGGTATCAGTGGGGACATATGTAGGTAAAGCAAATGGGGGGTTATATAACTACCCAAATATCTCTTGCCAAATTCAGTTCAGACAGAAACATCCATATTGATATGGGTTGGGTATATAGAAAATGAGCCTTTTGATCAAAGCTCTTAATTTAGTATTTCCAGGGTTTGATATGCCATGCGATAAAGGAGCCCCATTTTTGCTTTTTTGAGCATGCAGCTATGCCCAGTGCACTGAGTAGAGAGAATTAAAACATAATCTGAAACCCAAATATTGAGGAAAGATAACTGAAAAAAAAGAAATTACAAATGGTATCATTCTGGACTTAAGGTAATCTATAACAGCGAAGTAGTTTCAAAATTTTAAAATTTCCGTGTTGTATTTAGATGGTTCAGGAACACAGATTCAAAATTCCAGTGGACACATTTAACTCTACATTATTCAAGCCTCTGGGTTAGAATAAGATTTAGTCTCTCTTTCTCTGCCCCTCCCTTTCTCCGTTACGCCTTCCTTCCCTCTCTTTCCCCTTCCTTCCCTCTCTTTCCCCTTCTCTGTCTCTGTCTCTCTTTTAAGCTGAACATGTTTATTGTAGACATTTGTTAGGAGGAGCTTGATTTACAACAACTAACTATAATGAATGTCTTCAGGGCAGTGTCTTATGTAAAACAAGGTTGCTAAAATTGGAAGATCTTGCCTACTAATTTCTTTTTTTATTCCACCCCCTCCCATTCCCTTCCCTCTTATAACCCCCCTACTGTTGTCTGTATCTCTGAGTTTCAGTTTATTTATTTATTTATTTATTTATTTATTTATTTATTTATTTTTTAAATATATCTTCATTGATTTCAGAGAGAGGAAGGGAAAGGGAGAGAGAGAGATACAAACATCAATGATGAGAGAGTCATTGATCAGCTGCCTCCTGCACGGCCCTGACTGGAGATCGCGGCAGACCAGGAATTGAACCCCAATCGCCTGGATCCTAGGTCAACGCTCAACCACTGAGCCACGCCCGACTGGGCTATGAGTTTCAGTTTACTATCCCACATATGAGTGGAGTCATATGGTTCTTAGCTTTTTATGACTTATTTCGCTTAGCGTGATATTCTCAAGGCCCATCCATGTTGTCACAAATGGCAGTATTTCGTCTTTTCTTATGGCTGAGTAGTGTTCCATTGTATGTATGTGCCACATATTCTTTACCCAGTCCTCTATCTACAAAGGACACTTTGGTTGTCTCTGTGTCTTGGTCACTGTGAATAATGCTGCAGTGAACAGAGGGGTGCACGTATCTTTGCAAATAAATGTTTTTGAATAAATGTTATCTACCCAAAAACCTCAAGTACTAATTTATAAAAGATGGTTCTTGAGCAGTAATATGGAAGAAAAAAATCTTATCTCTGAAATGAAGACTATTCTACCACAAGTATCAATAGCCATGAGAAATAAGAAGTCCAGAAGCCTTATGAATGTTCCGGGTGCTCTTTACATTCACCTGCATGTTTTCAAAAAAATTTGCATTCTAAAAGGTGAATAGTAGCATTTAATTAGGGTTTTAATTTGCATTTTCCTAATGACCAATCAGGGAGACATTAATGACTAATTAGTTGAACAGTTCTTTTCAGGTTATTTGCCATCTCTGCTTTTTTCTCTGGTGAGCATTTATTCAAATCTTTTGCCTAAGTTCCTTATACAATCTGGATACACGTCTTATCAGACTTTTTTTTGCAAATATTTTTTTCCCCAGTTTGTGCCTTGTCTTTCCATTTCTTAGTAGTATCATTCAAAGAGTAAGTTTTGACTGACTCCGATTTATAACTTTTTAAATGGTTGGTGCTTTGTTTTTGAGATCTAAAAAAACATTGCCTAACCTAAAGTTATATGGTTTTTCTTCCATGTTCTGGTTTAGAAGTTTTATAGTTTTTGAATTAGGCTTATGAAATATTTCAATCACTTTAGAAAACAGTCTTACAGTGTTTGACAAGTCAAACATATCTTTACCATCTGATCTAGCAGTTTCATTCCTAGGTAGTTACTCAAAAGAAATGAAAACATGTGTCTGTGAAAAGTGCAATGTATGAGTGTTTATAGCAACTGTTTTGCATAATTGCAAAAAGTTGGAAACAACCCAAATATCCATCAACTGGTGAAGAGATCAATTATGGAGTACTTATATAGAGCAATAAAAGGGAAAACTACTAACACCTGCAATGACAGGAGGTAGGTCAAGGGCACTATGCTAAGAGAAAAGGGCACAGAAGCTACATGGTTTAGTATTCCATTTATATGATGTTGTAGACAATGCAAAACTATAGGGGCAGAAATTATAGCATCAGAAACCAAGGATTAAGGATGGGAAAAGGGACTGATTACAAAGTGGTATAAAAGAAATTTTTGGAGATGTGGAAATGACCTATATTTTAATTTTGTCAGTGGTTATGTGACTATGTTGTAAAATCCTTTGAATTGCATATCTAAAAAAGTGAACTTCACTAAATATAAATTATACCTGGAAAAACCTGAGTAAGTAAAATTTCTTTCATAGTTCAAACTTTTACATAATTATTTTCAAAGAAAAAATTTTGAGTCTATTTATAAATTCCCTCTTCCCAAGTTTTTACTATGAATGAATGAGTTTTTCCCAGGAGGTGACAGAACCCAGCAATCAATTCCTGGCTCTTGTAGAGGTGTTAATAGGTTATTACAGAAGTTTTCTTATTAAAAATGGTATTTATGTCAGTGTCTCAGGCTAGAAAAATCAGATGCCTGTTAGCCTTTTGCTTTTTGTGTATTCCTAATAAGTTATCTGTCTTAATTATTGCTGCCTTTGTGGTCATTGAATTAATTTGAGCTCTTTCGTTTCCCTTTCCTCTCATTGTCCTAGCCTAGGCTTTCATTCTGTTTATCTCAGGCCAATGCATTTGGCTTTCAGCTGCTTTTCCTGCCCCTAAGCACCAGCTCTTCCAATTCATATTGAGTATGATGACCCAATCTATCTTAAAATGCAGACTTGATCAAGTTGCCTAACACATCCTAATGACTTCTTCCATTTGTCTTTAAAGGCTTTTGGTAATATGGCTCATTTTGTCCCATGGTTCCAAACAAAATGTTCTCCAAAGAATAGGTGCTAATATGTCTCATCTTCAAAATTTTGTATTCTTATTTGGAAAAAGAATTGGGATTAGAAGGATGTCTTACATGTCTTTCTTCTCTTGACCATCTACCATGACCAAGACCCATCTCTTATCAGGGAAGCCTGAAGAAGGAAGAGAATAACAATTATGGAGGAGATTTAGAATATTTTGCACCTTTTCAGGAGTAAGGAGTAACTGAAAATCTTTAAACTATCTTCACCTGCAGCATTTGACCTGGCTTTCTGACATGTCACTGTGGTTCAGTTTTTGAGGTGCCACTGTTAAAGCCTATACTTTAGCTAATACGTTTTCTCCTTTCTGGGAAAGCAAGCCCGTAATGTGTGCAATGGCTCAGGTAGAACAGTGGGAGAAGTTTATTAAGAAAAGATTTTGGAAAAAGAAGTAGGAGAGAGAGGCTGGCATCATTTTCATGGTAAGCATGCAAAGTATCCTCCTGGAGGGCATCTCTGTCTCCTGCCAATCACAAGGTTTCTCCCAGCCCTCAATCACCCGAATGTCTAGACTTGGCCAACTCAAAGAACTCGCATAGTCTGTGCTGGAGGCATTTTTGTATGTTTGTTTTAGCAGCATGAAGCTCCACAGAAGTATTATTGGAGCGGGCATTAGTAGAAAATGTAAAAATAAAAACTGGCATATTTTAAATGTATATAGGATTTGCAGTGATTGTGTTTGCATGTGTTATCATCTGTAAACGTTGAAATGAAGACTAGTTATTAAAAATGTTTCCTGCTGTTCCCCCTTCCAAATGTTTCCAGCCACAGACATCATATCCCCATATACTCTCTTTTATGTATGTAATGGTGGAAACTGTGTTAGTAAAAACCATTTTAACATTATTTTTCTTATTACAGAAATAATAGAGTAGAATTTTTTTGATTTACAAATAAGCAATAGCAAAAAAAATGAACCAAGTTCTCACTGCTCTAGTCATTAATATTTTGGTTTACTTTATTATTACAAACTAATCATCTATCTATATCTATCTATCTATCTATCTATCTATCTATCTATCTATCTATCTATCTATCTATCTATCTATCTATCATCTATCATCTATCTATCTATCATCTATCTATCATCTATCATCTATCTATCATCTATCATCTATCGATGTATCTATATCTATCTATTTATCTATCATCTATCTATTATTATCTACTTATCATATCTATATACAAATATATCTTCTATATATATGTACATTGACACATATATTGCAAGGAGTTGTACAAATAGTATAGGGTGGAGATTAGATTTATTGATGAAAAATCTCCAGTATTTTGTTTGTAAAAAAATATTTCCTGATTAAAGCTAGATATTAAAGTGGACAAAAGGTGGATCTGGTTTGATACTGAGATATAATGATGTGTCTTGGTTCATCCATGGCAGGGCATTTGCTTGGTCCATTATAAATTGTTAGACTTTACTTTTGTTAATGCTATGGCTTTTCTTTAAAGGATCATTTAAAAATATTCATTAAAAGTATCACTTTGCTCATAAACTCTGCCTGAGACTATCTTTAAAATTGAATGACTGTGACTGGCTTGAGTTGGTCACTGTGTCTCCATAGACTTTGGAGCAATTATACTAACTAGATTACAGTGGAATTATTTGGACTGGGTTTCATTGTGTAAGTTCCAACAATGATTTACTTATAAGGTGGAGTCCATGCCCAATTCTTCTGACCCATGACATTATACTAATTTCCTTCTTCCAAGATTTTGACTCTCAGTAATATTTAGTAATTTTCTTTAATTACATGATGACTCACAACATACATCACACTTTAAAAACAATGGGCTGGATTCATAATCAACTGCTCTGGGATTGTCTAAGGAAGAGTGGCCTTTATACCTCCTCGACATAAAAGATTTACTTTAATCTTAAATGACATGGAACCCTAGCACTTAAAATTTTAATACTTTTGTTGTTATTGTTTAAATTTTTTTCTTTCATCATTGTCCACTGACTTTTTATCTAACTCTCTTACCTCCTTTTCACTACTCATCTAATTATTACAAACACTGTTTACAATAGATTAATACAATTTTGTGCTAAAACAGAAGGCCTGATTGAAACAAATTTTACAAAACTCATCAGGATTCTAAAAACAGGGGTCATAATATTCCTTGGGACATTTGAAATTCCTTCAGTGGTCAGATGAATAATATTCTGGAAAGGTTTTCTAAAATTCCTAATCAGTAGAGTAGTTCCTGGATCGTTCTTTGAATGAACATTTTAGAATTCTCAACTGAGACCTCTTGTTGATTAGTGTTAATATTTGTTATTCGTTGAAAGTGATAAGCATGTATTACTCTGCCATGCACATGCTACCTTTAGCTATCACATCCTATAATCAGGTTTCATCAGTACCTTATATGACATTGAAATGTGGTTATAAAATCATTTCATGACCCAATTAATCTTAAATGGAAATTTGGTTAGTTGATTCTGAACATCTGCTGGAGAGGTTTATACCTTTCCTCTTAGCACCCAGTGATTTCATTACCATGCATAAAGATGCAGGTATAAATATTTTATGTAGCTGGATCCCTTGGTTCTGTTATCACAATGT